AGGACCTAAAGGTCCCATCTGGGTCCTTTTGGCAGGATGTGTTCTCTAAATCGGACCTTGTCTCTGTCTGTGTTCCCCAGGGAGCCTGCAGCCGGGCCCGACGCCACAGTGGACTACGTTAAGGTAGGAAAAGCAGTGGTGCTATATTGTTTGTCTGCTGTTGCTGAAAATAAGCGGTTCCATGATAATCAATGTAAATATTTTGCTTACTGAAAATACGGCTGCTTATTACTGCCTCTATAACGCATAAAACAGTATTTAAAAAGACTGATTGTAAAATGGTAAAACACACAGAAGTAAAATAAGATGTACGACCTCGGCAGGCTTAATTTAGTTTAGCAGACTAAAGTGGAAGCTTGTTGTGTGTATTATAGTAGGAAGGAAAAAGTTATACTAGCAGTTATGTAAAACCTCAGACCTCCCACCCTGCTGTGAAAATACTGCAGTACTAAAGTAAAGACATTTTGCCAGAGGGAATAAAAGTAAAACATTTAGTAAAGCCCACCAATAAAGGATTACATCTAACGGGACACATCTGCCACTGGATATGAAACACCAGCTGTTTCTGCAGACTGAGGTGTAAACATCACTCTTAGGTGAGGTTAATCTAATTGCACCTCGACTACTTGGATAATGTGCCTTTAAATCATACGCTCAGTTTTGTTGCTGTCACACAGCTTTAAATCATTTTCGTACCACCTGCACCGCAGTTTTCAGTCAAAGACGGACGACGACCGAGATGCGATGGTTCTGTTAACACAGTTCTTTGCCTTTCTTATTTTTGGCTCCTGTCTGCTCGGTTGTTAAGAAATTTGTATTATTAAGACCATCAAACAAAATACAAACCTTCTGTACTGCACATTTAGTGGAGAAAAGGCAGGGTATCTAATCTAAATACATTTTGAGCAGCAACCAAATTAAATGCTGAAGCTGGTTTACCTAATCTTTAGTCAGACATTGCCTTATTTAAATCATAATTATGCCTGTATTTTTGCAGGTTTCTTAGAACAACAGTGTTAAACAGACACTGACATGAAAATGATTGCATTACTGGGAAAGAGTCTGTATTTTTTTGTTTTGTTTTGGTTTTAAATCAATGAATGAAATTAAACAGGAACAATTTTCCGATTCCCACGCTTGCAACTGTGTGGCTAGAGAAGAGACAAGTAAACAAATAAACCAGCAAAAATCAAATTGTATTATGAGGCAAAGGCGTGGGAGGAAAAAGCGCAGCAGATAATCAGTCCTGTAGTCACAGACAGCTGTTCATCTATCAGCACAGCTCATCGTAGACGGCTCGTCTGTACCTTCTGTTCATAAAGAAATGCGCAGGTTTGTGGACGATTTACACTCAACTTCATTATTTATCAAAATAAATAATTCTATCATTTTCCTAAATGATATTTGTTTGTGTGAAAATGGTAAACTTTCTTTCCTCGAATGGGAAAAAAAACTGTTTTTATACCTCACAATTAAAAAATAATTACTCAAACTTTACAGTCCAATCCCTGCATGTCTGTCATAGATTGTAGACGTAGGCAAGAAACAGTGGAAATCAGAGAGAGGAGGGTGGCATGCAAATATGTCCTGAGCTGGAGTCATGCATGAAGTTTGCATTATGTGGTGTCCACACCGACGCTTTGGCCCTCATGACACCGACCTATGTGATCTAATTTTGTCCTGTGAACAGCGACATCACTAGTTTCTTTCAGATCTTTGCAGATGTCATAACATTTACTGCAAACTACTAGATTTTACTGTAAATAAAGCCTGTCATTACATACAAACCCACAGTGGTTTCTCCACTTTTCTTTTTCCCAAAATTTTCTTTCAAATCAGTTCTTTTTCTCTGTGTACGACCACGTTCCAACTACTCCTCTCTCCTCCATCTGTTGGCTCATATGTTTGGATGCTAACACCCCATTGTAAAAAGCAAACTCTGTCCTTCCCATGGGAGCGGGTCACACATGTGGGAGCTAACCTCACAGAACACTCTCAAACCTGTGAGCCCACATGCACAAATAGTACTTTGTGTGCATTTCTTTGGTCACACACATGGTGTATCAACAGAGTGCGTAGCCTATTTTGTGCGCGTCTGCGTGCTGACCGCATATGTGGCCTACTGTATTCCAGGTATTATATAATATGTGTGAAAGCCTAGCTGTCAGCTCTGCTTCTGTGCTGCTCCAGGTGTGTTTGCATTTCCACTGTGGATGAAAACACACACATAGACCGTACAGGTACAGTACAGGTGTTGTGTGGCATATGCTTTGGAAACTGTGTTTTTTACAAACAGTTGTCAGTACAGTGAGTGTTGCATTGTTCTCTGTGATTATGTCAAGTAGATGTGAGCAGAATGGGTGTATGTGGGGAAGGAAGTCTCTGTG